TCTTGCCACCATCAGCTCCTCTGTCGCGGGGAGCGCGGGGGGTTGTGGCCCTGTGGTGGGGCTTCCCTCCTATAAAAAGCGTCAAGGTATCTTCTTCAACGCCCCGAAAAGGATCGATCTTGTTTTCACGAATTTTTTTATTCGAGCAATAATCTACAGATTATTTTTTTTTCCTCTTCTTTTTATTTTCTTTTTTTTTTTTTCTCACAAATTTCTTATGCGCGATCTATATCTACAGTTTGTTTCTTTTTTTTTTTTTTTTTTTGTACTTTATTTTATTTTCTCGCAGTGAAATCATTAAAATAATTCGTTCATTTTCATCTCGAAATAATTCGTTCATATTTCGAAATTAATTAATTTAATAAATACGTTCCGTGTTCCGAGCGAGTAGTGAATTTTAATAACGTATTATATACGGACAATAGTGACTACGTTTAAATTTGGATACAGTTATTTATATGAATATAAATAATCAGTGATTAATACAAATATATCTGAATATTTAAAAAATTGCGATCGAAATAATTCATCTTTAAAAATATTATGATTCAATTTTCAAAGATAATATCGTGGAATTATTAAACTTTTTAATCGTGAATTTTACTCGAACTAGAAAAGAAAGCAATTGGAAATTTTGTATAAGTAATGAAATTGTTTCGTGCATCCGTTAATGAGAGAGCTTTGTTGATGAAATGGGGAGATTGTTAATTAAAACAGTATATAAGAAAAAAAGAAATATAATAATTAAGAAATAACCAGGAGGAAATTCCTAGTAGATTGCATAATTAATTAGTTTAGTCGAAGGAAAATAAAAGAAAAAGTATATTATTACTATATGTTAATTAAACGATGCTGGCAACTTTTATATTATTATTTTTTTTTATATATCACTGGTAGATTCTAATAATTAAATTATTAGTAGATTATTGTTCTAATAAAAATATCACAATTTGCTTTTATAACGCATAAAATTTCATTCTCATTCGAAAATTCATTCAAATTCATTCTTCAATATTATTCGGTGGTAATAATGATATCATTTCTCATGCTAAAAGAGGATAATTGCAAACGCTTTGTCAATTTTGAAAGAATTGAATGCAATGTTATGTAAGAATATACCTTTTACGTATTTTTTCATAGAAATATTTCAAATTTATTATTTAGCAAAAGTAGTTAATTGATAATACACGATGTATTCGGAAATTTAATTATTTTTATTATATACAAGGAAAAACGAGAACGTTGGAATATA